TTCGTTTTTTTTATTCCTCCATTATGTATACAATTTAATAAATATGTAACAATGTTTTGACCCTATTTGGCAGTGAATCGAAAGCCGTATTTGGTCCATGTAATGTACAAATGGACAACATTTGTACCTTATTGGGCAGTATATCGATGTCCATTTGGCCATTCGGCGTTCTTTCAGAAATATTTATGTTTGATTTTTGTCCCTTTTTTTAAGATTGGAACTTCCATTGGATTGCCTGCAGATTACAGCAGTCGTAAAAATTTACAAGGACGTCTTATGGATGTCCGTTGTACATCCTTGTGCTGTTTGGGTGTATCTTTTTTAATTCAGTTACTCGTAATCATTTGAATTTTTATTTCATCCTTCCAAACAAAAAAGCTATAGGAGTTCACAAATCAAATTTAAAAATTGCTGCTCAATTGATGTGGAAATAAAAGCTGCAATTATATTCTTATTTTTTTGTTTAATGTTTTTTAAAACGAAAATATTGCTTTGTTTATTATTTGGTACCTATATATAGGTATATATAGATAGGTATCATGTTAAAAAATTATAAACATTTTGAAACAGCGTATTTTTCATTTAGTATTTCAAACATGTTTGGTTTGCTTTTATAATAAGTTTTATTACATATAAAAACTTATGCATAAACATAATAACCAAGGACCGGATTTTAGGCAAAATGCCTTTTCGTTTCCATTTCAGGCATTTGTTTGGGACCTTGATATTAATCCTAAACTTAAAAAAATAAAGCGTTTGACACCCCTTTGTTTTTGCCTAAAAGCCTAAAATGGCGAAATTTTGATTTAGGGTCCTAAAAGGACATTTTTATGAGCCTAAAATAGGCTTCAGAAAAAAACATATTTTTCAATGAGAAAATTTAAATTATTTTTAATTAGGCCCTGCTTTCTTGCTCTTATTTCGCCTAGAGGGCCTTGGCGAGTACGAGGACCACAAATTACAAAACTAGTGAAAATCTAATGAAAAAAGTAATTATGTTTTTGTTATATCTAAATATTTATTATGAATAATTATGGATAATATTAAGTTTGTAAAATAATGGTTAAACATTATTATTTACTTGGTTTTCATAGGTTTTATTGTAATTATTTTATTATTGTTTTTGTGTTGCGTTAACTTGTTTTGTTTGTGTTTTAGTCAAGAAAAACCCTTTAAATAAAAACATCAAATTTCATCGATTCCCGAAAAACTTTGATTTGTTCAAACAGTGGTTAAATGCCATAAAAAGAATAGACAATATTAACGTTAAGACCGCTTCTGTTTCCTCTAAACATTTTCTGGACAGTGACTTTAAGTTTAATTTAAAACTCCAACTCTTAAACTACAGTCCGAAATGTTATCAAGGACTGAAAGCATCTATTATCCATATTAAAACACTTTCTTTAATATTACGTTTAATAAAAACGCCCTATGTTCAGATATTTCTTTGATAATATTACTATTATTCGCACGACATCATGTGATGTGGAACTATCTTTTTCTTGGTTAAAAAATATTTTAAATTTTAAAAGGACTTTTACTCCCGGAAACTTGGAAATGTACTTAGTGTGTTACGGAAATGCAGACCAACTAAATAAATAATTTGTTTTATATATTGGCCAGTTAAATAAAGAAGGATTTCCACTAAATTTAAGCATATCTTTTGCCAATATGATGAATTTACTTATTATTTTAAGAAAGATATTTTACTTTTATGTTTAATCATAGTGGCGAAAGATTTGCTCTAAATTTAGTGTTATTATTTTTTTATGTATTTTATATTAAGAGATCTCTCGAGAGATGTATTTTTTATTTTATTTTTATTGTTAGTACCTGAATAAATGTTATGTTCAATTGTGCTGTTTTTATTTTATATCGCCTATTTTAGGCAGTTGAAGCCTATTTTTGTCACTTTGGGCCTAAAACGGCCTAAAATGTAGGTTTTTATTGCCTATTTATGTGTCCTAATTTTTAATTTTTAACGGCCTTACATCCTATTTTAGGTGGTTGAGGCCTATTTTTGGCACTTTAGGCCTAAAACAGCCTAAAATGTAGGTTTTTATTGCCTATTTAAGTCTCCTAATTTCCAATTTTTACCGGCCTAAAATCCGGTCTTTGATAATAACCTATATAAAACAAAAGCGAAAACCGTAAAACCCGTAATTAAGTTGTAATTCTCGTTTTGCTTTAATTAAATAATAAACAAATCTACTTTCCAAAAATTTGCTAAATTTATTTAAAGCATTATTTTTTTATTTATAATTTTAAAAGAACTTATTTTAATTTAATTAATCAAATGTACAAGCTTTCTTTAGGAATATTTCTACACTTAATTACATGAATTGTTAATTTAAATTTAATAAATATTTCGACTAAAATTTTCTTTTTATAAATTGTAGCATTTACTTATACGTCAGTAGCTAAAATTTTCAATTCACAAATTTATTTGAAAAGTTTTGAAATTACCTCTTGAACTGTTAAAAATCTTAGTGTATTTATTTTATTATAAACATGGTGCAGGTAGAAATTCTTTGGCATAATAGAATTTTAGATCATGTTGTTATGACCTTTATAACGACAACTTGTGGGTTGCACAGGTGCTCCCTTTTTAACCCAAGAGACATATACATTATTGCCATATTGTTTATTGTATTTATTGACATAGAGCCTAAATTATTGTATGTGCAAAATAAATATCGGAAAATTAATATATTAAAGAATATATATAAAATAGGAATTTAATACAGGTTAATACAGGTTATAATACAGGTTATAATTTAAAAGTAATTATAATTAAAGTGCCTTTTAAAGATTTATTAATTTAAAGTTGACTTAAGTATATTTTAAGTTGGTTAAGTATTATCAAACGATATGTTATTCATGCTTAATTTAGTATATACAGCAAATAAATATAAACTGTCATTAAATAATAAGCCAAATATATAATTTTGTTCTAGGAATTAATTAAATAACTATTATTGGGTTTCCCAAAAGTCGCGCACCACTTTGTATAATCTACAGACACCCAGGAATCACAAAAAATTGTTATAAAAAATATATTTTTAAAGGTACAGGGGACTCCCTTAAGGGGATACATATTATCTTTAAATGGAAACATATGTTGTCAAAATTTTCTAATAATAAGGTAGTTTAATTCTTATAAGATTATAATCTTCATCAGCGGCGGAGCTAAACACAACGTGGTCCCCATTTCATGTCTAGATTATGAAAAATGCTAATATATTGAACTATCAAAGTAATAGCCGCGAAAACTAATTTAGAAAATTAAGAAACAAAGGTAGTCCTTTTCTTTTTGATTCCCAAACAAAACTGGGCTGATAAGCCGAAGTAAACGAGCTTTGAAATCCCTTTTTTTTAAATAAGTTTATGTCCTGTTAATATTGCCTGAATAAATGCTACTGACTCGTACAATTTTTTATAATAGTGATTTAAATTGTTAAAAAATTTAAAAAGATATTTTAAATTAAAAAACAATAGGTTTACCTATACGCATGCGTTTGGCAACATGATGGTCCAACAATTTATTATCACAACAATTAATTTGTCAGAGCATTTTTGTTAAACATATATACATATACCTAGGAAATCTAGTATCTTGTTTTTAAAGAAAACGAATTACGCATGCGCATGCATATAGGTAAACCTATTGTTTTAAAGTTTTAAAAGACAAGCTTAGCAAAAAAGAACTTTATTTTATTTCTGACTATAGAAAACGATATCCTGATTTTAAAAAACAAACTTTAACTTCCTCATTGTAATTATTTTTATGTAAGCTTACACAATAGGTATGTCTAATGATAAAAAAATTAATTATATTTCACGGTTGCTTAATTTTATATGCAATACAATTTTTCCTCCTCTCGGCGGCACGGGTTAATTTAAAAAAAATAGAGCTGAAAATGTATGGACATTCTAGGAGGTACCCAAAAAAAATTATTATGCGCATGCGTATAGGCAAATCTATCGTTAAAAAATATTATCCTAAATTGTGCGCGACTTTTGTGACATCCTGTATAGATATATATATTAATGGTTTTCCGGGATCTGCTCCGTGTTGTCGGTTTTTGGTTCTTAAAAGAACGTCTAACTCGCAGCAGAGCAGCAACATCAGCCCAGCAGATAAGAAATAAAGATGGTACATGAGATTGCAATACATGTACCGAAACGTCTTTAGACATACTGTATGCATAAGGGTTTATTATTCATTTTAAAATATAATTATATGTGAGTAAACAAAGTTAAGTATATTAGTATAATCAGCACTCTATTTTTCTAATAAACTATTGTTAAATATATACTCATATAACATATTTATACATATTATAATTAAAAACATTATAATATATAAATTTTTTGGGTTTTTTAGCACATTTGCTTTTTAGCCTACAAACCCTGCCATGTTTCCGATTTTTTATTTGGAGAAATACTGCTATTGAAAACAAATATTAAATTAAATTCGACCGCTCTGTATATTAAGCGCTAAAACCCAAATATTTTTAAAAAACCATTTGGAGACTTTTTATAAGGACCACCCTAACAAAATAACTTTTTTATTTGTATTTATACATAGGTTTTTTATTTAACCATTAAATCATATTTATTTTTCATTAGTTATCATAAGTTATTATCTAGAACTTTTTTATTTGTATTTATACATAGGTTTTTTATTTAACCATTAAATCATATTTATTTTTCATTAGTTATCATAAGTTATTATCTAGAATTTACTAGGAAATGGTTTTAAACTTTAAATTACTAATATATTAAACTGAAGAGTGCATTCCTGAATAATAAGTCAAAAGAATGTCAGATTTGAATATGGGTTGGTTAACAGTTTATACCGTGTTTATCATTTAAGAGACAATCTTAAAGTTGACTTAAGAAAGTAGGGTAATCGATAACCAGGCCAATGAGGTGACTTTAATGATGCATCAGCATCTGAACTTTAATAAAAACAATAATTAAATCTATAAATATACCTTTTTGTTGGGTAATATTAAAAGATTAATCCATAAAATCCACTTATAATCCACACAAGTATAGGAAGTTAAGCCTTAACACACTTCAAACATTCTCTTAGAATGCCACATAACAGAAACTTCACTAAAAAACAATTTTTTCGATTACTACACTTGTTCACGTGTTGTTTGGGTACCTAAATCAGGTCGGGATAATTAGGGACAGACCGTTTTAAGTCCATAGTTGCACTGACGCACCGACATACGCACCTGTCCGTAGATTCTGCCCACTGAACTCGCTAGCGGTCGCTCGGGTGCCCAGGTGAGCGGACCGGTTAATCCGGCAACGTTGCCTAGGAATCTTAAGAGGTAGATGGACAAGGAAGTACTGTTCAAGGAATTGCTCTTGGTTTTATGCAGACGTGGGTATGCAACTAGGCATACACTAACAATTAAGGTTTTTAGTAAGTATTTGAAGAGTCCTCTCAAAGTTTCAACTTAATCAAAAAAAAATTATACTTTTATTTAAATCAGGGCTATCCAACATAAGTTATATATTACTTATGTTGGATAGCCCTGATTTAAATAAAAGTAATATACACTATATTTTAAACATGTTAAAAAAATAAAAATTAAAGTTATTAATTATAACAAAGTTAAGATCTTTTAAAGTTTGGGTAATCTTAAAAAAATATATTTAATTGATTCCAAACTTATTTATATCAACAAAATCGAATTTAAAAAAAATATTTAAAATTAAACTGCATTTTGATATTTTTAGTAATTGTTTTTGATTTAATTTTGATGTTATTTAAATTTTTAATTAAATAAATATAGGTGCCTAGATGTATAAAATTAGCAAATTAGCCTACACTCGGCAGTAAATCCGCATCTGACAGTGATCTTTATTGTAACATTGCGGATCAAACGATCGTATCGTTTTGTGAATTAAAATTAACTACAATTTTAATTTAAAATTGATTTTATTTAATTTTGCCCATATGCAGTAACGTTAATATATTATATATATATTTTTCTATAGAGTATACTCCCACCTTTAAAACGCCCTTTATCGTACATGTTTCCATGACACTAAGTGACCTTTTAAATACACATTGACAAGTTGTGGCTTTACGGCACTTTAGTCACGGGCTAAAGTTGGCAAGAGGTTTTTAGTCACGGGCTGAAGTTAGTTTTAAGTTAGTTGACAGTTGTCAAATGTCATACAATTGTTAAAATAAAGTGCCTTTCTTGTAAAATAATACTAAATGTGAAAATTATTTTATTATCTCAATACAAAAATATTAAATAGTTTCTCAACGCCAATATTTGAAAAGTTTATATGAACATGGACTGACCTTTTAATTTCGCCGGCAGTAAACTATAACTTAAATTCGGGCACGGACTCTACTGTGAAAAACTATTAATTTTCAAGATACACTTCAATTTATAACCTTTATAATTGTGTTTATAAAATGTAAAAATGTGACATTTGACAGTTTCCCCTGTTGTTTCATAGATGGCGCTCTATACAAATTTTTGATTTAAATCATCATAATAAGTATTTGTCGTAGAAAATATTATATTATGTATCAAGTTTGATAAACGCCATTTTATACACGAATTTAATTTAGGCACGAGCGAGCTTGCGAGCGAGTGCTTAAGTTAATGAGTGTATAGAAAAGTTTATAAACGAGGTGCATACTATACTTTTTCTACGACAAATACTTATTATTATCTTTAAATGATTTAAATCAAAAATTTGTATAGAGCGCCATCTTTGAAACAACAGGGGAAACTGTCAAATGTCACATTTTTACATTTTATAAACACAATTATAAAGGTTATAAATCGAAATATATCTTGAAAATTGACAGTTTTTCACAGTGAAAGTAAAGGAAATGTTTTATAAGGACTTTACAGTAGAGTCCGTGCCCGAATTTAAGTTATAGTTTACTGCCGGCGAAATTACAAGGTCAGTACAATGTTCATATAAACTTTTCAAATATTGGCGTTGAGAAACTATTTAATATTTTTGTATTTTTGTATTGAGATAATAAAATAATTTTCACATTTAGAATTATTTTACAAGAAAGGCACTTTATTTTAACGATTTTATGACATTTGACAACTGTCAACTAACTTAAAACTAACTTCAGCCCGTGACTAAAAACCTGTTGCTAACTTCGGCCCGTGACTAAAGCGCCGTAAAGCCACAACTTGTCAATGTATATTTAAAAGGTCACTTAGTGTCATGGAAACATGTACGATAAAGGGCGTTTTAAAGGTGGGAGTAGAAAAAGTATAGTATGCACCTCGTTTATAAACTTTTCTATACACTCATTAACTTATGCACTCGCTCGCAAGCTCGCTCGTGTATAAAATGGCGTTTATCAAACTTGATACATAATATACTATTATATCAACTTCTCTAGCATACCAGTAAATTTGTTTTTGCAAGGCAATGCTGTAATTTTCTTTAAAAACTCTTATTTAATAAAACAAATTGGGTAATTACCTTTTACTACTTTATTACGGAATATAACAGTTGTTTCTAGTAAACAAACATTAGTTTCTAGAAAATAAATATCGTACATTTGTTTTTACAAAAAAATAATTTGTAACTTAAAAGCTTTTTCCCCAAGGTTTTTATTTATTGGCAGGTGTTTTTTGTTTGAAGAAAGGAATAGGGCATTTTCTGTTTTTTCTTAATTTTAATCAAATTTTTCTGTAAAAATACAAAAAATATCCCTTGAAAATTGACTAACAACCCATTTCGAAGCAGTTTGTTCACAGTAAAATGTTTAATGATTTATCGGTTAAAACTAGTATATTGCCGGCGAAGTCAAAAGGTCAGTACAAACGTGCATATAACCTTTTAAAATATTGGCGCCAAGGAACTATTTAATACTATTGAATTTTTGTATTAAGATAATAACATTTAGTATTACTTCAAAAGAAGGGAACTTTAATTGACGATTGTATGATATTATACAACTGTAATACAACTTAAACTGGTATACCAGTATGTTCCATTCATAAAACCAGTATGTTCCATTCATAAAACTGGTTGTTTTTTTCGTGTTTCATTAAACTGTCAGTGCATTTTAAGAATCCTCGGTGCAACTATTTTGGCACAAGCTCCGATAGCTGTTGTTGGTTCAGTGCAAAACAAAAATGAGCCATTTTTGTTTTGCACTGAAGATAAAAAGGCGAGGATAATTTACCCTACTCTCTTAAAATGAATTAGTCAAAAATAACTAATTATAAGTAATATTTGACTAATTGTCCTAGCGAAAAAGCAGTCACTAATAATTAGTCAAATTCTACTGAATGAAATAGTCAAATTAGTAGATTTAATAAAAAAAGTTTTGACCCGGCCGGGGATTGAACAGGTCTGTCATTTGTCAATCTTGTCAAGGTTGTCATAACCCATTTGGCTATCAGCCGCTCTTATGAAAATAAATTTTATTTGTCAATAAATATTGTTCATAATATATTAAAGTTGAATATATTATTTGTGTTGCTATTTGGAGCTAAACTTTTTACATCATTATTTTTTAATGGGTCATTTAACCATTGAGCTTAGATATATGCATTTAATTCAAATAATACTTTGTTGTTGCCGCAAATGATTAAAGAAATTAGTTACTTTTAACTCTCAGAAATAGTCAAAGATGGCGACTAATCTTAAATTAGTCAAACTTTTACTATTTAAAATAAATATTTAAAATTGAAAACGACTATTTTATTAGTATAAAATGCTGGTACTAATTCAAATGGTAGAATTTTGACTATTTTATTTTTAGAGAGTAACTATATAGTTAATCTTTCCACGACAGCAGAAATATATTAATATTTTGTTTTATGTTGTTCATATAATATATTATAGCGGTAAATAATTATAAAATGGTATTTATTTACTTCATTTGATAATTTAATAAGATTTTCCGCCAAAACGGTGTGTTCCATCCCAAAAACACCAGTGCCGTAATTTCACTGCATTGGCCTTGTGTTTAAAAAAATTAAGTTCAAAGAAGTGCAACACTAAATTTAGGAATGGAAAATGCTATTAAAGCTAACACTTACTTAGAAATAATTTCAACCCGTGACTAAAATGCCCTAAAGCCACATCTTCTTACAAGATCACTTAGTTATGAAAACATGTACATATGTACGATAATGAGCGTTTTCAAGGTGGGAATGGAAAAACACATTTATTTACCTATTTATTGTAGCCTAGAAGGGTACAAGTTAAAGCAAAAGAAAAGCGCGCACTATAACCTTTTTTCCGTGCCATTCCTTGTGTCTATTATACCTATATTATATCCTAGCCTTATTTGTAATTCTTTGGGATATAATTTGGTGTAAATTTAAGCTTGTACGGAGTTGGAGGGTGAAACTTAAGTATTAAAATTTATCATTTACAAGGTATTAGATTATTTATTTTAATTTAAAGAAATTGAATATTAATTTTTTTTTTAATATGTCAATAACTTAATGACTCTATTGTTCAAACTTATGGGACACCCTGTATAATATAACCTAGAGGTAAACAATCGTAACTCCTAATTTCTATAAAATTTCCTTACAGTTGTTCCCTACTATACACACACGCTTTGTCACGTGGAAAGTGATAGAAGCTCCAAATCTCAAGGTCAAAGAAATAAGCTAGTATATCGTATCTCCATTTGGGAAGCAGCGTGGCGTTATTTTTTCGAAAATGTGCTGCAGCTCGCGAAACTGGTAGACAGACCATTTATTATGATTAATTTGATAAACGGACAATTGTTTTCCTCAATTTTTATAAACAGACTTTAAATATTTTCTGTTCTTTTTATAGAGATATCATCTTCCAATATGAAGTACAACGAAAATAAACGTGTTAAAAAAATAAGTGAAGGGTCCTGGTAGTGTCTGGAAAGACTGCAGAAGAAACTATCGTCAACCAGTTGCGAGACATCAACAAGATGAAACAACATTCATTGAGATTTATGATAAAATTAATAGTGAAGAAGAACCTTTCGGCGATTATAGCGATGACGATCGTGACTACGTTCAAAAATTTATGAGACGAGCAATGGTGGCCAAATGATGACTAGGAATTCAAAAGCAAAATTTGCTTTTGGCTAGACCAATGAGTCAGTGCCGGAACTTGTAATAAATTGGTCTTAATGCAAAAAAAAATGAGGGGAACTCTCAATAACTTTCAATGTTTAAAGGACACTAAAAAAATCTATTTTATGTAAATTTATATACGAGGTGTATTTTAAAAGTAAAGGGGATT